GCGGGGGGTGGGGGGGGGGGGGGGGGGCTTGAGAAGAACACAGAAAACAGCCAAATGAAGCCGAACACAGAATAATGCATCGGTTTAGCTAATGCTAACAAGCCTTGTAATGAATGAAGGAAGCAAAGCAAATTTTTTACATCATTGTCTCTTCGCTCACAGTAAACATGAGTGGGATTGTGTCTGAGTGTGTATTTTTGTATACACCCTGTGAGGGGACTGATAAAATATTCCTTCCCTTGGTTGGCCCCGGGGCATTTCAACTGCCCCTGGCTCCTTCCAGTCAGTGGCCTGCTCCTAATTGCCGCACATAACACACACACGCACACACACATACACACACATGCATGCATGCAGACCCTCTGTGGTTGGAAACACACATTCATTGGGGGAAAGGCAGAAGGATGCACGCACATACAGACGACTGCACATCTATGCATGCATACATTCTTCACAGACAAACATGCACCCCCGCCTCTCTGCATTGATTCCCCCCCTCCCCTCCATCCCATGAACCCCTCCACACTCACCCCCCCTGTTGCCCTTCGCCCCCCTCTCGGTCCCTCCTCTAACTAGTTGCGAAGACGTTGTCATGGCCGATCATGTGGGGCAGGCCCAGAGCTGTGCCTGTGGCTTTTTCTTGTGTGGAGACTGCAGCTTGCTAGGTTAGCTTCCCCACGCTGAGTGCATGCAGCCCAGGGTTACAGCCTGCTGAGGCCCTTAGTAAGGCTGGCAGACTGTGCATGGAGAGCAACTGACTGTTTTACTGAATGAGCTGCTCATCAGCTGCCTGGCTAGCTTTCTGACCCAACTGAACACAGCGGGCTGACTGAACATCTCAAAGACTATTTTACTGTTTTGTTTAGTTTTTTCATGAGAAATGTAAATAAGTAAAAAAAAATAAATAAAAAAAAGTCTGTTCATTCAAGCATAACATCGATTGGTTCTTGTGCGATGATTCATTCAGCTCAGAAGATGAGATATACTGAGTTCAAAGGAGCAAAACAAGATTTGTGGAATATTTAGAAACAGACTTCATAATTCTACTATTTTGACAAATAGAAACAGTGTTTTATTATTTTACACATTAGAAAACCCTGAAAAAGTCCTTTATTTCAGTTCTAATGAGGAACATTGAGAGAAATGCTAGCTTTAGTATTGTTAGCAGCTAGCGGTTAGCTGGTCACAGTGCTTACAAATCGTTTGTATTGGTCTCTAACAGTCTCTTCTTTAGCAAGGTTAGCAAAATGTCGCCATAGCTAACATTAAAACGTTGTGGAGACATCTGATCATTATCTCCCTTGTTATTCTGTATGATGTATTCAAGATGAACTAGAGACATGATTTGGCGAGCATTAAAATAATGAAGTCTGCTTCTCGGCCGTGTGTTGCATTAAAACTGGTTTTAAGTGGATTCAAATCAATAATCTGTTAAAACCAAGTTATAAATACTCTTTATTTTATTGTCCAGAATCATGACTGTCACCTTGTATTTGTGTCAGTCGTTTTTTATCAGTTGTGTTTAGATGGGAGAGGCTTTCTGATTAGATGTTTTTTTTCTGTCTTGGATGTCAAATCGAGATAAATAATCCCCAAGAAACAACGGACTGCTCCGCGTTGGGTTTTTTTTCATCTGATTAACTCTCCTGCACCGTTTCCTACTCATTATTTTCTCCCCCTTCATTGCCTCCATGAGTGTCTTGAGTTTGCACGTTTCGCTCCATCTCCGTCCCCATCCTTTCTTGTGCCGTTTCACCCTTTATCTTGTCTTTGTTTTCCGCTCCGTTGTGTAGCCTCTGTCTGCTTGACAGGCTGCTGTAGCACCGCTGACATTTCCTCAGCATGGCTGCCGAAACAACAGCTTCAGCACCTTTCCAGGCTCAGCTTTTTTTCTCTTCTTCATGACTTCTCTCCTCGTGCTCGGAGGTAGAGAAAAAGCAGAAATTAGCCCCAGACCTCATGGAGGTGATTGGTATCAAATTGCACTGAAAATGGAAATGCCAATAAAACCGACGGCCTTCTGCCTCTTTCTTCCCTTCTAGGTAAAGTAAATGTACACTTCTAAGTCTGACCTATGGATGCTTGCTCCCCTTCGAGGGAAAGTAGGAGTCCATAGGTCAGACTTAGAAGTGTAAAGGATAGGAATGTGTTAGCAATTCCGTCTGTTTTGGGTTGCAGGTGATAAAACTGGAGAAGAAAGAAGGAGAATGTTAATAGTGAACCATTTTTTTTGTTGTGTTTTCTAAACATTCACCTTCTTTCCTTTCTTCTCATCGTACCTCACCTTCTTCCCTTGGCTTTGGCGCTCGTTCGATCCCGCTCCGAGCCGGTTCTCCGGCCGTTTGCTTCTGTTTTCTCAACTCGCATGGGACGAGCCCCTGGGTTTGTTATTGTAGGCTTTGCTGAACATGAGCCGGTCTTTACGACGGATTGAAAGCATTTGCTTCCAATGAAAATCTGGTCTTAGATTACAGGGCCCCGACTCGGCTCACCCGTCTTTTTCCAGCAGGCAGCTGGGAAGGGAGGCGGCGGTGGCGGGGGTACAGGGGGGGCGGGCGTATTTCTTTTGCCCTGAAACAGTAGGAAGAAAAAGCTGAACTCACTCACAGGGCTCAGACGGTGCTTGTCCTAGGCTAATGATGTAACTGAAGCTTGCAATGTGAGTGTGTTTCCAGGACAGAGAAAGGCTGAGAAGCTGCATAATGTGCTCAATGTGTGCCTGCTTGGTGTGCGCAGGGCTGAAAAGTCTTGTTAATCAATTAATGGATCAGTTGCTGAACAATTGTAATTGATTGTTCAATGAAAAAAAACAACAGTTTTCTTGTCATGGGGTTCTCCTGGTTTGTTGACCTGAAGTAAAAAAGCCACAGTTACGTGATATATTTGGTTGTAAAGTAAAACATGATGTAATTGCTTTTATAGTTAGCAACCCACAAAGCAATGGAGAAATGTTTTTGGATTTCAATGCTGTGGCTACACAGACATGATTTATACATGAATCAATCTTCAGTTTATGCATCACCCTGATTTAGACCTATATATTTTGTCCAGGTCCAGAACAAGCAAAGCAGTGTGGCCTAAACGAGTTAAAACGTAAAATTGGCACATATGACTTCCGGTCGGGCCACCCACAAGATAACAGCGGAAAAAGTGCTCCCAAAGAACCTGAGAAATTGCTAAAATACCCCCATGTAAAGTGAGAAATGAACTCACTGAGTTAATATATAAAGGGAGCCATATTTATATATATATTTGTATATAATATTGTTTAAGAAGCAACTTGTTGAAGCCCACAGTAACAAGAACAAACAGGCCAGCAGCTAAAGCTAATGAGTAGCAGAGACTTTAGCCAAGCTGACCCGATAGAGAGAAATGTCTGACTTGGACGTGATACTGCGAGAAATAAAAGGTTTTCGCCGAGAAAACAAAGGAAAGCAAGAGGCCATTAAAGAGGAGATTGTTAAGATAAATGCCAGGAAGGACGAAGTAGAAGGTAGGATTGTTGGAGCGGAAGGAAAAATTCAAACATAGTTCTCATGTGACGTATCACAGAAAGTCTGACTGACTTAGTCGTAACCCAAAATATAAGTGAGGCAGATGAGTAATTGCTTATTCTGTCTGTATAAGAAAAAAAAGTCATAAATTATTTTTGCAGTAATACTGTACGAGTGTGTAGCTCATTGTCTGTAAAAGACGTTGTGATCCCAATGTGACCAGTCTGAGTTTGTCAAGCAAACCTAAAACAGGTCTGCATCTAGACTTCTACTAAACATCTAAAAACACATCAAATATACAGACCGAAAATATATGAACTTTGTTGATGCCCAAGGTAACATCAATATTACCTGTACAATCTGTTTGTGTTTTTTCCTTTTTCCTCCTTTTACTTTGATTTTGATACGTTGACTTACACCCATTAAACTGTGTATACGTTTTACACTAAACATGTTTATTGCCCTGAATTATATACTTCTTTGCTCTTTTATTCATAGAGTAACACAGTTGTTATCATAACCAACTGATATCAGCTGGTTATGATAACATAACCAACTGTTATCAGCTGGTTATGTAGTCAGACTGTTTTCCTCTGGTAGTCGGTCTCTCACACACAATGACTGATGAAACCACTGGAAATATTTCTAAACAGCGAAACAGAGAGAAATGTGGAACACTGCAGGTGTTCAGTGACTTTAAACCATAACCTGTTCAAACCTTAATGTACCTCACTAGAAAACGTTCTTCTACTGTTACATAGTTCTCATGTGCCATAACACTTTCGGGAACTTTGTTTCTCCGGTTCTGGTTCAGACTGTGCATTTTCACAGATATTAAAAACTCAAAAATAAAGAGTAAATTAATTTGAAGAAGTCCTAAAGCCAATATATATTTATATTTGAATTGTAATGTGGTGAATTTTGGTAAATTGGCAAAGTGTAATGACCAGATGATTAATTCTCCATTGCTTTATCCACTGGTTGTGTTACATTCGCCTGAGCCAAGCACACGCTTGATCTTCATAGGTGCATTATCAATGCGCAGTAGGGTAGTGTTTGCATCAATGCCAAGCCCGCTCTTGTTTCTACCTCCCACCCCCTCCCCTCATGGCGTCACCTCCACTTCCACATGAGGTTCATTAGAAAGCCTTCAATATGTGTGCATATGTATCTCCTTCTGCCAGCACAGTCGGAGAGAGAGAGAGGGAGAGCTGGCCGAGCGTGTTGTTTCGTTTGGTTTGTTGAGACGCTCTCTCTCCTAATGGCGTGTATAATTCAGGTGCCCTCCAGGCATGCTTTCAGGAATTCTTTTGCCTGAGGTAATGGGGAGCAAAGGCCCGGGTTTTAGGCCCTTGATTATTCCATTGATGTGGCAGACTGGAAAAAAGTCATCTCCAACCGGATTAGCGCCAACATCGCCATTAATTATCAATGAACCCGGATCTTGGGGGTTTTTGGGGGGGATTTTTTGCGAAGGTGCCGGGTGTCGCCCTATGGAGGTCGGTGAACTGCCCTCAACTCTTGCCGCAGTGAAGAAACCGAGATGCTTTGGAAGTGCTTAGCGTGTAATCAATAAATAACAGAATCCAATTCTGTGACTGCTTCTGCGGTTTTATATTTTTTACTCCACGTTCTCACTTCCAGGGGAGGGAGGCGTTGTGGGACAAACGTCGGGCTGTTTGGCGCCGGAATACCCCGGCGTGTGAGGGTGCCACTTGTTTACCTCGCCTCATGTTTCTTTAATGATTATCATCTTCATTCAGGGCGCCTCGCGTTTTTTTTTTTTTTTTTTTTTTTGAATAATGATAATAACAATTAGGCTTTTCAGCGCCGCAGATGGGAAGCGCCACTTTCTCTCCAACCGGAGCTGTATTGAATCCGTACAGTAATTGGGCGTCTTTGAATGCAAGTGTGTGTGTTTGTTTGTGTTGAAGAGTTAATGTTGTGGAGAAAAGGCCCGTGGAGCACTTTTCCTTTCTCTTTCAACGCTCGGATACTCTGAGCTGTCTCACTGTACCCCCTTAGGTGAGGTTAACTGGCCTTAATAGAGTCTTATCGAAGCCCTACAGGTTGCTGTAAGCAGCCATGATGCTATTGTTATGAAAAGCAGCTAGCTTTGTTAGCGCTGTTTGTGCTTCCCATCTATTTTCCTTTCATTTCCCCCTCCCACATCCTCGCAACCTTGCCTTTTGTAGTGCCGTGTTACTCTTTCCACCCCAGGTAAAATGGCAGAATGCGCCGGGGCGACGCTTCAATAACTATTTTCCCCTCAGGATAATAAAGACTAAATCTCTCTGTCATTTTCAATTCTGCGCGGGCTTGGATGGGAGAGTGGGGAAATGCAACCTTACAAGTCCTTTGTGCTCCCCCTCTCCCCCCTCTCTCTCTTTTCCTCACGAAAGGATGCAAGCGCTTACTGTGTTTTCAGGGACGGTGGGGGGAAAAAATGAAAAGGCTGTGGTTTATTTATAAATGTATTAAAAACTGAATGCATTTAGCGAGGTGCCATTCTCTGCCAGCCATTGTCGAAGGCTCCATACCCCGTCCGACACAAAGAAACCTCCAGAATTCCTTTTTTTCTTCTTCTCCGAAATCACATTTATTCTCTTTGAACCCGAAAGACGCGGCAGCTGCAGGAAAGCAAAACAAACTTCCTTGACGTCTGATCGGAGCTGTCTCTTCCTGTTTCCCCGTCATGTGACAGGTGACGGCCTGGACAACAGCGTGGCTTCGCCGAGCACGGGCGACGACGACGACCCGGACAAAGAGAAGAAACACAACAAGAAGAGAGGGATTTTTCCCAAGGTGGCCACCAACATCATGAGAGCGTGGCTCTTCCAACACCTAACGGTGAGTTCAGCCCAACAATATGTGTTTCACGTCACGTGTGATCCTCAACTCACCGCCAGCAGCTTACCTTCCCCAAGTCTTGCTAGCTCTGTGCTGCTGGTGTTTGGGCAGAAAGACTTTTGCACACCTGAAACACACACCATCCAACACTTGGCACGCATTCGGGCCCGGTTTGTACGGCGAACACTTCAAAGACAGGAGACCCGTGTAATGTTGGAGAGAATCTCTGATCATCTGCTGAAGCTGAATGAGGCAGAAGCAGAGCAGAAGCACCCCCGGCGAGTTTGTGCAGATGGACCGAAGAACCTCGTTACATTAGTTAGCAAAATGCATGAGACGCCGCGAAAGGCTAGTGGCTTGGCTTTTGCTTTCCCTCAATTAGCAGGAAATCCACTCATCGTTTGAGACTGACACAAATAGTTTGGTGGAAGCTAATGTTATTTTGTGGGTGATAGAATTAGGCTTAGGTTTACAAGGAGATTTATTAGATCAAAATGAGCTTCTTGGTGCTGTTTAGATGTGACGTTTGTTCCAGTAGCTTCTTTTCTGGAGTTTCATGGGCCTTAATGAAGCTCAGAGTTAGTTTGTCTTACACTTAAAGTGATGATCTGCTTTTTGTTTTATCACAGCGCATCTATAAAAGCATTCGTTGCTTTAGGTAAACTGTTAGATTCTGTTCTTTTGTTTAGAGGCGTACCTAGGACTGTCACAAAACCAGTACATTTTGCTGGACAATAAATTATCCCAGATGTTATTGCGATAAAGAATAATATTGTTATTTTGACACGGTTTTTATGCAATAGAAAGGTAATGCCATTATAAAGCAAGAACCCATTCTCAAAGATCAATACATTCTAATGAATGTTTAACACTAGAACTGAAATACATTTTAAATATCGAAAAACAGGTGCACCTTTCAGAATTTAGCAGATTTCTGATCTCAGGTTTTTGTCAAATTTGACCTCAATTACATATGTTAATTTAAAAGAAAGACAATGCTTAATAGAGTTTACATTTCTTTAGGATCCTACATTAGCGATTAGCACAGCTAGCATTACGAGTTATCTAATGAAAAATTATACAAAAGTACATAATTCCTCAACACCTCAGAAAAAACATTCAGTTCAATATCACCGCTCAGCCTTCCTGTTATCTGATGAATAGCTTGCTCTTTCTGGTTCTCTCACAGTCTGAGTGATTTGCAGACATGATTGGTAATGTCATGCTAAGCAGAGTGTACTTTTACATAGCTAAATGTTCTGCTGTTTCAGCCTATTGTGCCCATATCTATTTTCGTAGGATTGTCGCTTATGCCATGAGTCATCTTCACCAAACAGGAAGTACACCGCAACAGTCTGCAAGCACAGTTTTTTTTTTTAGATGGAGAGGTTTCGCCACAGACAAATCATTAGTTGCAAGATGTTTTATAAACTTACGAAACTACTGTAGTTTATCTCTTACACACTGCCCTGATGGAGTTGCATATCGATGCACCTCCTGTATGCTCTTCTTCTACTAAAACTTGTTGAAATTGGGCAGATTGTCTCTCCAGCAGCCATCCCTGTTGTAAATGAGAACTGCAGTAAGATATCAAAGCAACACTAATAATGTTTAGTGAGTTGATCAAATCCTGCTTACCAACTTTTTCAGATCGTTTTTGCATCCATCTTTTATGCATCTTATGAAAAAAAAATAAATAAATAAATGGTATTTCCGATCAAATTCATCCTTTTAAAAAACGGCTAAAAGCAGTAAATCCGTTCTTCAAAGAATGTCGTAGTGAAATATAACCTGCCGTTTAACAAAACTTTCAGTTTACATTAAGCCAAATTGCACTGGATTTCAAAGTTTAGGGCAAAGCAAATAGAGGAGCTGGAAAGTGTTTGGCCATTTAGAGGCATTATTAACATTTCCTCTAAGAGCCGTTCCCAGGAAAGATGTCTTAGAAGTACTTTCCTAACTCTGCGTCACTTGCAATCTGCAGACCTCAGGAGTTTGTGGAGAACATGATACGGTTCGGCTGAGTGGCTCTCGGTTTTGGATTGCACAGGCCAAACGGGAGGATGCGGAAGATTGGGGATATTGCAGTCTCTAATGTCTGTCTACACCGGCATGTGACGTCAAACGTAACATTTTTGGCGAAAATGTTTTGCCTTTTACTTTTTCAACCTCCCACTCTCCATTTTGTGATCTCTAATCTCACACCCCAAACCCTTCATGGTCAAAGGGAGAGGGTGTTTGTAGCACACACACACACTCCAACATACCTCCTGTGTCATTTTACACTCTGAATCAGGCTTATGAGGGGTTTCGACATCGTTGGATTTCAAACATTTGGTAGGATATGAGCTTCAGGAGGAGAAGAGGGGGATAAGGGAGGATCCATGAAACTCTCCTTCTCACGAGCAAAAAGAGAGAGAGGAACCAAGCCGTGCACACAAGCTGGCAAACAATGGATATAACGGGTGAGCTACTTTACGGCACCAAACTGGAAGAAATCCGAAGAGCTACATCCATCTTTTGTGGCAGCGGCATCATTTCTCTGAATAAAAAAAAATCCAACTTTTATATCGAGTGCATTTATTTAGTGAAGGTGGGGGGGGGGGAATCCCAGCTGTTTTTAACAAGGTCGCGAAATGTAACTGAAGCTTTTCTTTATTTTATATTTCACCTTTTTTTAAGCTGATCAGAGCTTTATAGTGACTGTTTAAAAGCAAGCCAGGACTTTTTGTTCTCCTTTTATTATGGTTCCTTCAGCCACTGGGCTCCAGGCTAGACCCATATTTACCTTACCAGCAAGCAGAGTGAGAATGATGACACATCTCTAACACTCAGTGGAGAAGTCAGAAGACAAGTCAAGCAAGTCGAGGCATCGTGGGGGTCACTGAGTCTCCATAGCAACCATTAATTCTACATGTTGGTAGTGATGCCAGAAAAAAAAAAAAAGAAATCTTTTTCTGTAAGTTGGTGGAGTTTGAGGAACTTTACAGGGAATTTAGCTGGAATTGTGTGGGTTTGATCAGATGAGACAAATATTATTGGGGTTAATGGATCTGATCTGAAACTCCTTTTTTTCCCCACGATAAGTAAAAGTGGTGAAATTATTGGCTAGGTTTTCTAAGTGCTTCAGTAGCTGCGATTCCATTCCATTGACTGTAATATTTCTGTAATAGGAATGACGAAAATAAATTTGCTTAACGGAAACGCCAATTTCAGAAAAATAATCCTCAGGTTTTTCTGCTAGGATGAGAAGGTTTTTCGGTTTGTGTCTTCTGCAAAACTGCAATGGAAACATGTTTTGTGCATCACCTCGGGTACATAATGAACAACTGGATGTTACTACTGACAGAAATGACGAAGATAACAGGAAGTAGATGGCGAATCATGTCAAGGCATGTTTTTAATTATTTATTGAGTCAACACGTGTGATTTTAGTTACATTTCTTCTTCTTACTGGAAACAACTCAATTACAGAATTGTGTTTTTTCAACGTTTTTCGACATTAAAGTTTTGCGAACATTTGCAATGGAAAGCTAATGCGATGTAACTAGCTGTAATGGCAGCTACCGTGAGATTAAAATTAAATATTTATATCAAGACTTTTTACATACATAGTTGGTCAGTATTGTAGATGCCAGGTGCCAGTCTCATCTGTTCACACTAATCATTCTTTGATGCTGCCGTCATTTGAAATGACCTGTTGATCTTTTTAATCATGGCGTTTACCTGCAAATGCTGTGTAAAAGCACATTATTCCCATAGAAGGCTTATGGTTGAGTCTTAAGTTTGACAGAATAGTGGGAAAAAACGGCAAGAACTACAGTCGAAGTTTGGATCCCAAACTTCAGTGTATTATATGTTAGTCGCCCTCACAATTGGACCCTCAGGGGAGTTCCCATTGTATCGAAGCGGAAAGGGAAGGTGGGTGGCAAAATGGGGCTATGAGTGCACCGGCAGGGTAAGTGGTAGGTGGCATTTACACAGCTGTTCTTTCACTGTTGTGTTAAAGTCGCTCATTGTATCCACCATAGGTGTTTATCAGCTACTTTGCCAGGGAAAGGTAAAGATTGTTTCCCGCAACAACGCGGGGGGAGGAAAAAAAATCATTTAATTCCCAAGATTGCTGTTTTCCTCACGAGCTGCTCGTCTGACTGGGAGAAAACACGCTTCCATTTGAGATTCGCTGCAGCAGTATTGAATTTGTGATGATGACAACGTTTGCAACTCTGAGTTCTCTCCAACACACCCAATGAGCTCATATGTTGTTGACAATGCTTGTGGGACGGATTCAGCGCAAGAATTTGGCTGCGCTGACTTGGAACGACTACAAAACATTAGCGTTAACCGCCTGTCACCGATGGCCAAGGCATGCAGTCTGCTGCCAGCTTGACATGCAGCTGTAAACCGGGTAGGAGGCCGTAATAAACAAGAGAAACGGGGAAAGGCCTTTTTTCCACTTGTCTTCTTATCACATTGTGATATTCCTTATTCTTTTTTTAATAATTGTGTGGCAGTTTCTGTCCTTTCTCTTTTGTATTGATCGTTTTTATTGATAATATTTGTGTAGTTAAGTCATTTTGTCCCTGTTTGGTTAATCTTTGTTTTTAGTAAGGCAAAAATTATTGATTGTCCAGGGACAACAGATGAAAAATAGCTTTTTGGCTAATTCCGACGCATTTACAAACATGTTAAAGGGGCAGTATTTTTTGGAGTTGTTATAAAGTTGTTCCCTTATCAGAAACATACTGAAAGTGTTGATTTGAATTTTTTTAATGCATGTTTGACAAATAATGTCAACCATTTAGCCGTTCAAAATGCCTGGGTGGACATAGCTTCACCTTCAGGACAGTTTCCAAACTTTATCCTCACAGAGAACCCTCCCCACTCAGCTCCTTCAGACTAGCCATGAGCAATTAGCAAACACCTGGTGGATGAGCTCATGCATCTACTGAGCTCATTATAGCAGCTACTTCTCAGTGAAATGCTAAAAATGTTGGGTT